TGCTGCCTGTGGCCTCTGCGTATAATGTGCATAATTAGCAACACGTTTCGAAATGGCAGGCAATACACTCCAGCATATACGTATCTCTCTCTCCTGCTGCAGCTATAATTCCATAAATTAAATTAATAAAGTGCGGCTCCCAACCCAGGAGAGTCTTGAAAGAGGAAGACTGACTTTGGAGCAGTCTTTTTAGGGCTTTTTTTTGGGGGGGGGTGAGACATTTTAGAAAGTGTGTGGTTTCGAAGGCTGAAAACAAAACCTCGCTTAAAAGCACGGAGGCCTGAATCTCATTCTCACATAATTTTGAAGGATTTATTTGAAAAGCGGCTCTCTCCTTTTTGTTTGTGAGGACAGATGCCAGCTTGGTTGTGAGCCAACATTTCTCTCAAGTGGGGATTCGGGTGGGTTTTGTGTTGGGGTCTATGTGTGTGTGTGTTTGTGTGTGTGTGTGTGTGTGTGTGTGTGCACAAGCAGTGGGAAAGCTCCCATGTTTGGGGGCTTTTTCAGCAATAGAGGCTAGTTCATTACTACTGACCCAGAAACTCCAGCGGGTGCAGAATGCCGCAGTGAGACTCCTTACGGGATCACATTCACCTGGTGCTATACCAACTGCACTGGCTCCCGGTGGAGTACAGGATCAGGGTTAAGGTGCTGGTTTTAACCTTTAAATCCCTATACAGTGGTACCCCGCAAGACGAATGCCTTGCAAGACGAAAAACTCGCTAGACGAAAGGGTTTTGTGGTTTTTGAGCTGCTTCGCAAGACGAATTTCCCTATGGGCTTGCTTCGCAAGACGAAAACGTCTTGCGTTTTTTGCAAGTTTGTTTCCTTTTTCTTAACACCGTTAATACAGTTGCGACTTGACTTTGAGGAGCAACTCATAGAACGCGGTGTGGTAGCCTTTTTTGAGGTTTTTGGTGATTTTTGAAGCTTTTCCAAAACTTTTCCGACACCGTGCTTTGCAAGACGAAAAATTCGCTAGACGAAAAAACTCGCGGAACGAATTAATTTCGTCTTGCAAGGCACCACTGTACAGCCTAGGACCCTCGTACCTACAGAACCGCCTCTCCTGGTATGTCCCACGGAGGACCTTACGGTCTTCAAACAAAAACATCTTGGAGGTCCTGGGCCATAGGGAGGTTAGGCTGGCCTCAACCAGAGCCAGGGCTTTTTCGGCTGTGGCCCCAATCTGGTGGAACGCTCTGTCACAAGAGACTAGGGCCCTGCGAGACTTGACATCTTTCCGCAGGGCCTGCAAGACAGAGCTGTTCCACCAGGCCTTTGGCCAAGGCACAGTCTGACCCCCTCCTTTGGCAATCCTCACAGAACTCTAGCCCAATGGTTGCCATTAATTTGATTTGAATTGATTTTAGAATGAATTGATTTTAGAATGTTGTGTTACTTTTATTGTTGTTAGCCTCTCTGAGCCCAGCTTCGGCTGGAGAGGGCAGGATATAAATAAAATATTATTATTATTATTATTATTATTATTTATTAGGGAATGCCCCACCAACTTCAGTTGACCCTCAGCCAGGAACTGCCTACCTGCCTTCTGGCTTATCCATCAGGCGTTAGATCTGTGAGGGGCACGTGGGGCTCATCCACCTGCGAAGGTAGCCCATCTAAGAGAAGAAAAACTCTCATCCTAAACCTCCGCTGCCTTGAGGGATATCTTCAAGAGAAGACAAGGCTAAGGAGGCAACCCTACACAAAACCAGAGTGGAGTCCCTAAGATGGTTGGACGGCACCTTGTACGCCTCCTTCCGGCAACTTCTACAGCCAAGCTGGTGCCGAACGTCTTGCTCTGCTTTCCTTTGGACCCCATCAGCGAGGCTGAGAGGAGGTCTTGTCATCTGGGCAGCCCAGGGCCTCCAGACACACTGCCCAGGCTTATGCCCCAGGGAGGTCACTTCGGTGCTGCTAACACAGCTGTTTGACTTCACCCCCGGAGGTGAACTCCATTGTCTCTTGGGTCAAGATGGGTGCCAACAAGAGGGAGGCGGATCTGCCTTCACTGGTTGTTGCTCCATCTACTGATGGTCTCCCTGCCTTCACCCCAGTAGTCACAATGCACACCAACCACAGCCACTTTTTAGTTAAGAAAAGACGAAAAGTGATCGGGGATGTGAACCTCATAAAAACAGGCATGGTGTAGGGCACAGGTCAGCAAGCTTTTTCAGCAGGGGGCCGGTTCACTGTCCTTCAAGCCTTGTGGGGGGCCGGACTATATATTTTTGGAGGGGGAAATGAATTCCTATGCCCCACAAATAACCCAGAGATGCATTTTAAATAAAAGCACACATTCTACTCATGTAAAAACACCAGGCAGGCCCGACAAATAACCCAGAGATGCATTTTAAATAAAGGGACACATTCTACTCATGTAAAAACACGCTGATTCCTGGACCGTCCGTGGGCCAGATTGAGAAGGCGATTGGGCCGGATCCTGTCCCCGGGCCTTAGTTTGCCTACCCATGGTGTAGGAAAAGAGGACAGAGGAGCTTTGACCCTGCTCTCGTGATTCTATAACTTTCGGTCAGCCAACGAAGCTGAATTGTGGGAGATTCAGGACACGGGGAAGGAAATTCACACAGCACAAAGCTAACTCACAGAGCTGGTATCTGCTTTTGAATGTGTGCACCAGAGTGGCATACTTTGGCCCCCACCTGTTGCACGGTCATCAAAACCTTTGGTCACTGTTGTTGCAAGCTGGGCTGCAACGCTGCTCAAGGAATCGCAAGTCGGTTGACTTTAGTCAACGAAAGGTGCATGAAAAGAATTAAAATAACCCACAGCAGTTCTAAAGGAGCAAAAGCCTGTGTTGCAGCAGAAACACAGGAGGAAATGCCTCTTCTGAGATGGAGCTTACAATCGGCAGTTTTTGTTTCTTTTTGTAATGGAAACAACAGCAACAAAATTAAAAAGCCATTACCTGATTAATCAAGGGCACCACTTTAATTGATGGAAATATATCAGTTTAAGCTTTTAACTGAACTGGATGAGTGTTGCAGCAACAGATGAACTGCCAACGAATGCATTCGAAATATGCTGGCCTTTCTTTCGTTGCAACTTGATATTGAATTTAGCCAGTTTGTATAAACTGTGCCCCACCCCAACACCCGGTTGCAAGTCCATGCAGACTGCTGCATAGTGTGAACTGACCCGTTTGTAAGCAGGTTCACTCGCTGCTTTTTAAGATAGCAAAAAGACATGCTCTGATGCAGTCTGTGGGGCAGGTAGCATATCACCCAGAAATCTTAGCCGACACAGTGCAGTCCAGATATTCCTTGACTCCAGCTGCCATCAGCCCCTGCCACCATGGCTGGTGCTTAGGGGACGATGAGGACTGGAGCCCAGCAAACATCTGAAAGGCCAGCTGTTCTCTATACCTGATCTATAGCACGTATCATAAATGCATCAACAGGTCAACTTTGCTTGGGGATTTTGTCGGAACTTGCGTTCGGCCGAGCTGCTCTTCTGGTCAAGTCCTCCGACGGTGATTGACGACCTGAGCCTTTGATGAGGCTCCAGGCACGTTCCCTCATTACGCAGAGTATACAAGCAGCAGAAGGACGAGAAATATGAGCTACATTGCTAAGAGTTTTATTTCTTAACTACGCAGGCAGAAAAGAATATACATCCTCTCTCTGTGAAAGTAGAGGCAACTGGTACAAAGAAACAGGAAACCAGTAATATCAACATCCGTCTCCCGTCTCCGGTGAGACTTCCAACAGTCTGGAATCTCTGGAATGTAAACAGAGTCTTGTGACTCCAAGCACTGCACAGTGGCACAAACAGAAACCTAACAGATTTGGTCCCGCTGAATTTTGCTACAGTCAAGATTACTAGTTTCAAACTGAAAACCAAGAGACTTCGTACATCAAACACACTCACCTGTGTCTTCACCTCTTGGGCCATACAATTATTATTATTATTATTATTATTATTAGCCACATACTGATGCAGTAATTGCTGCTATTCCCACCCCCACCCCCAAATAACTTGGCTAGGTGGGAAGGAGAGATGGAATGGGTAGGATAGAGGAAACATGGATATGACATGATGGAAGTTGCAAAAAACAACAACAACATTCCCCCTCCGTTCAGCCTAAATGCCTGAAAAGCCAGGCTTTTCATACATTAGGTGAGAGCGCTTGTGTACATGGAGAAAAGATGCCATCTAATTTATTGACTCGGGTGCGTGCAAACAAATGGGGAGGGTCGTCTACCTGGGTTTCAAACACAGAGACAAACGAGGGAGAAAAAAGAGGAAAGGAAGACCACCGTACCTTTCACTACCTTATCCAGATAGTGAGCTTGGGAGATAAAAGACAGGACATGTAAAGTAGGGTTGAGTCAAGTGCAGTACAGCTTAGTACGAGACAGTGCAGAAGTGTTACAGAGGCGCCGGGAAGGAGAGGAGGAGGGTCAGAGGTTGGGGAATGGGGGAAAACGAGAACATCAGCAACAACAACAACAACAGGAGACCGAGCCTTTGTTAGGGAGAAGCAGAAAAGTGGCAAGAAAGGAAGGGACAGTACCAATACCATCCGTCAAGGAATGGTGAAAAGGTCTATTTATTTATTTTGGGTGCTGCGGGTAATAAGGTCAGAATAAATGGCAGCCAGCCTGAAGGTCCTGCGAGCCTTTCCACGGCTACAGCAACCTCTTGCCACGGCTGCCGCTAAATGCATTTTTCCTCTTGCCTATCATTCATTTAGAGGGCATCAACAATGCACACGGTGCTTTATGGGGTAATGTAAAGCGGAAAAGACCAGCCGCCAGCTCCAAGGACCTGGGAATCCCCCCCAAAAAAATTCATTTTCTCTGCAATTAATAGTTTGTGCAGTGCCATCGTTTTACGTGCTGCTTTGCGTCCAGCAGCACCAGCAAAAATGCCAGGTCTCTCCCGAAAGGAGCTTACAATCTAGTTTCCTGCCAGTTTACTGCAGGAAGACCAATTTTAGTTTTGAACCTTTCAATGATCAGCATTTCATAAGAGACAAATAGCTCAGCTGGTTAGAGCGTGGGGCCGATAATGCCAAGGTTGGAGGTTCGATCCTCGCACGGGACAACTGCATGGCAGGGGTTGGACTAGATTGTACTCAGGGTCCCTTCCAACTCTATGGAAATGTGAGGTGGTAAATGTGTGCCAAAAGTAAAATCAGAACAGGTGGGTCGTGAGTGCTTCAGTTCTGAGACAGGCAAGCAGAACAGGGTCTGAATATTCTACCTCTTCCCTAGAGAGCTATCAGCACTAAAAAAAGGGAAAGGGAAAACAAACAAACCCTGAGTGTTCTGAATTTTGACTGACAGCTGTCTATCACAGTGGTCACAACTGGTGACGTCATCTCGCAACCCAGACACTGAGCGGACCCTTCAAAATCACTGCTAAGCCAAGGGAGAGACAGCATCTCCACTCCACCTCATGGCTGGGGTGGCCTCATCCAGGTCCCCGGCTAAAAGGTGACAACTTATGGGGATGGCGGCAAGGTGGTAGATAAAATTCAGAAATAAGCGAACAACATGGGCCCCTAGGCCAATTTATGGCAAAAGCAAAAGTAAGTTTTGCAGGGTGTTCCATAGTTGCCAGACAATTCCTCCCCTCTTTGTGCTTGCGCTCACCGTCTCTTAAGGGGGCGTTGAACCAGGGTGCACCCCCTCGCCGGTACAGCCTGCAGCCAACTGCTTTGACTTTGCAGATTAACCTCGCCAAAGGGGCAGGGCAAATACCACGATGATATAAAGGAACTCGGCAGAAGAAAAGAGAGTTTAAACGGCTGGCTTAAGGTCAGAGCCAGAGTGGCCGTAATATAAAAGAACCCCCGGGAAATTTAGCCGATGGGGTGACTGAACAGCTCCTTTTCTTCTGAGCAGTCGACAACTTCAGAAGTGGGGGGGTTGAGATATTTTCGGCTAAAGCTCTCATCCTGCCGAGCTCTTTGCTCTTATTTAAAACGTCATCCAAGTAAGGACCGGGCAAAGCTTGCTTCTCCAATTTGGGCTCCATTCCCACGCTCCTTCCAATCTGGCTCTCAAACGACTCCTTGTATTTTCCATTTATTCTTCCCCCCACTCCACCCCGCCCCTCCTGCACTGGCTCAGGCAAGACCACCCAACTAGAAGGGTCGTGACCTCCGAAAGAATTTTTTTTGCGCCTCCCCCCCCCACTTTCGAGTCTAGACTCTAGTATGTCTAAACGGGCAGGCGGAAGCACGGGATTCGTATGCGCAAGCGAGGAGGTGAGGAGATTGATGACTTGGCTCCGGGATGGGACAACCTCAGCTGTCGCCTGGCGGTTCAGAACATTTGCTAAAGGATAAAGGAGAATGGAAGCACCTGAGAAACACTGCCAGGAGGAAACGCCCGACAGGTTTAGAAACTCATCCAGGCAGCCCAAGTTACCTGGGTCACTACCGCAGTCTCTGGGAGAATCTGCCATCCTTTTGCAGCAAAGAGCCAGGCCGTGGGGCCCGCACAATAACATGGTGCAATTCTTGGTGCACCGCTCCACTTAAGGCTGCTTACGGTGGGAAAGTGCATGGTTGGATGCTTCCTTATTATAATAATAATATTATAATTATTATAATAATTTATTATTTATACCCCGCCCATCTGGCTGGGTTTCCCCAGCCACTCTGGGCAGCTTCCAACAGAACACTAAAATGCAATAACCTATTAAACATTAAAAGCTTCCCTAAACAGGGCTGCCTTCAGATGTCTTCTAAAAGTCTGGTAGTTGTTTTTCTCTTTGACATCTGGTGGGAGGGCATTCCACAGGGCGGGCGCCACCACCGAGAAGGCCCTCTGCCTGGTACCCTGTAACTTGGCTTCTCGCAGTGAGGGAACCGCCACAAGGCCCTCTGCGCTGGACCTCAGTGTCCGGGCTGGATGATGGGGGTGGAGACGCTCCTTCAGGTCTACTGGACCAAGGTCGTTTAGGGCTTTAAAGGTCAACACCAACACTTTGAATTGTGCTCGTAAACGTACTACTATTATTATTGGCCCAGTCCAAATCTGGTTGAAAGGTATAGGAAGTAATAAATGGGTAACTCACCAGGCAAAACATGAATTGGCTCAGTAGGTTGCAGGACAGTGCAAGAAAATAAATAAAAGAAGAAACCCTAATAAAGGAAAGCAGGAGAGGCCCAGACTCTGTTCATCAACAGCATGCTCTGTCCATCAATCAGAAGACTGGTGGTTCACACCTACTCAGGGCAGGATTATTGCAATGCAGGGGGTTGGAATAGATGACCCCTGGGGTTCCTTCCAAGCCTACAATTCTATGGGTTTAAGCATCTAGGCAGCACACTGAGCAGGTACGAAACTCACCTGGTCAATGTCTCCCTCCGTATGGTGAAGTGCATTGCATTTCTGCTTAAATCATAGCGATAATTTGGGTCTCCAGTTGTTTTTGGACTACTACTCCCATCATCCCTAGCTAGCAAGTCCAGCGGTCATGGATGATGGGAACTGTAGTCCAATTGCAGACCCTAGTTTGGGAAACCCTGGTCAAACGTTAAGGAGAAGCCTCTCCCGCTTCTGCCAGAGACACCTAGCAATGTTTACCTGTGCGCATGTCAATTACGGGTCAGGATGGGGGTTCAGCCACTTTGGGGGGGGGAGGAGGGGTTGGAGTGGATGACACAATTTTTATCAGGGATAAAGCAGGCAGGGAGACATGATGTAATGGCGATTTATGGTCGACGACGCATGCGCCCATGCAGAAAAATCACACTGGGATGAGGGGGGATGCTTGCCACACACAACGACCTTCCATGCCAATGTCCTTTCACATATGCCAGTTTGTTAATCCTCTCCCCACTCCCATCCCCAAAATATTGGATTTTTATGGTGGTGTAATGCTTGTTTTTTCAGCGACTATTGTGTTCCCTACACCCTTGACAGACCATTGCAGGGGGTTGGACTAGATGACCCCCCCCGAGGTCCCCGCCAATTCTATGATTTTATGATTCTATAGGAGAAAAGCAGCAACGGGGGCAGAGACATCCTGCTAAACATGGACTGTCAGCAGCTCCTCATTTTATGTGTTCAGAGTAGAAAAGGCAGCATGTAAGACTTAAAACCATAAAGGATGGACCATCAAGAAGGATGATCGCCGAAGAACTGATGCTTTTGAATTATGGTGCTGGAGGAGACTCTTGAGAGTCCCATGGACTGCAAGAAGATCAAACCGATCCATTCTGAAGGAAATCAGCCCTGAGTGCTCACTGGAAGGACAGATCCTGAAGCTGAGGCTCCAGTACTTTGGCCACCTCATGAGAAGAGAAGACTCCCTGGAAAAGACCTTGATGGGGAAAATGGAGGGCACAAGGAGAAGGGGGCGACAGAGGACGAGATGGTTGGATAGTGTTCTCGAAGCTACCGGCATGAGTTTGACCAAACTGTGGGAGGCAGTGGAAGACAGGAGTGCCTGGCGTGCTCTGGTCCATGGGGTCATGAAGAATTGGACACGACTAAACGACTAAACAACAGCAACAACAAAGACTTAAAACAGGGCAGTCTCAAATACTGCCCTGGGTTCCAAACTGTTTAGGGAAGCTTTTAATGTTTGATGCATTACGGTATTTTAATATTTTGTTGGAAGCTGCCCAGAGTTGCTGGGGAAGGCCAGCCAGATGGGCGGGGTATAAATAATAAATTTGAAATTGGAAGAAAGGGATGTGTAGAAATAAATGGGCATCTCCAACCCCATCGTCCAGCCCGGTCACTGAGGTCCAGCACTGAGGGCCTTCTGCCGGTTTCCTCACTGCAAGCAGCAAAGTTAAAGGGAACCAGGCAGAGAGCCTTCTCGGTGGTGGCACCCGCCCTGTGGAACGCCCTCCCTTCAGATGTTAAGGAGATAAACAATCACATGACTTTTTGCAGACATCTGAAGGGAGTCCAGTTTGGGGATGCTTAGAATATTTGATGTTTTGGTGTGTTTCCTTTTTATTTTGTTGGAAGCCACACAGAGTGGCTAGGCAACTGAGTCAGGTACAATAAATTTATTATTATTATTATTATTATTATTATTATTATTATTATTAGTGATACTGCAAAGTCCTCCCACTTGAAAAATTGGCTGCTTTTCAGACCACATCTTGTTGCTAAGGGCGCGATCCTGTGCAGCTCTTCAGGCTCAAAAAACCCTCACTTGCATTTCAGTTTTTTAAAGAAAGAAAAGAAAGACTTTCTCTTGAGTAATGCAGAAAGGAAGGCTCACCTCCTCCAGGAGAGACTTCTCCTTGGCTGGAAACGTCTCTCGTGGCATCCTTTCCTGCGGCAGAAGTCAGTTTTCTAACTATAAGCTCCAGGTTCCCTTTGCAGGAAATGCTAGAAGCTTTTCCCCCAGAAGAAGCCCAGATGGTTTTTACAGCGAGCCGGAGTAGGCTTGCAAACAGCTAATTAGTAGGTACAGAACAAATCCTATGCAAACTCTCCATCTTGCAACTGGCCTTCCCTATCTGTAAGAGCATTTGTTTGTTTTTAGAATTTCTGCCTTAAGACAAAACACTTTTGAATGTGGCTGTCCACAACTGCATTTATGGAAAAAACAACAACAAAACACCCCCAGTAGATCAGGAAAAAAGATGTTTGGAGAAAGGGTAATACCCTGAGATGGCAGCATGGAGGAGTTGGTCTGGGGAGGGCTGTGAAGTGGCTGGTTTAAGGTTGTGCTAAAATGGGGTGGAGATATGACAATTGCACGCTGAACGACATGCTGGAACAGCCGGGCTCCCTGGTGAAATGGGGCAAAGCTTCACCAGGGAATTGGACGAAATTGGAGGGGAGAAAATTGTCAGGTGGGGAAGACTGTTCAAAGCTACCGGTTACACGAACTATGCAAAAGTTTGTCTCTTGTTAAAGTGAAAGAAGCCCTTGTCCCCAACTCAATGGTAAAAAAGGTAAAGGAGCCCTGGACTTTTAAGTTAAGTCCAGTCAAAGGCGACTATGTGGCTGCAGCACTCATCTTGCTTTCAGATCGAGGGAGAAGGTGTTTGTCCACAGATAGCTTTCCAGGTCATGTGGCCAGCAGGACTAAACCGCTTCTGATGCAACGGAACACTGTGACGG